CCAGGCACTGCATTTGTTTATGAATTTTAAATAATAAATGGGCGAAGGCCGCCGTGAAACGTTCAAGTGTTATGTTATTATTTTTTATGTACATAATTAAGAAAACGGGATAAAATAAATTTTGGGTTTTAAATAGAAGCTAAACGATTATGCCTATAATTTGCAGTTGTTTATGCTTGATGAGGAAGGATATTTAATAACATTCACATAAAAAAATACATATATATGTTTTTATTTATATATTTCGTAGATCGCAGACAGGCTCTTCGAGTGTATTGCGGGTACGTAGACGCGCAGGCATTTCTTAGAGTGAAGCAGTGCCGGAACGCGATGATAATCTATTCATCCGCGTTTTGTAACGAGGTAGAAAGCCTTAGAGCGATAAATGGGCAGCTGAAAGTGATCAGCAATTGGCCGCCGCCATATCGCACAATTTTAACACTAGACCCATGACTTCATAGTTTTGCGTCTAGATTTTACCGAAGTATCGCGCACAAATAATTGCTTATTGATCTTCATAACAGTAGCGACGAGATAAGTTATGCTTAGTTTGTTCTAAATCCAAAATGTGCTTTTACGACACAAATTCGGGCAACTTCGCAATGCTTACGTTAGATGCCGTCAGCAGCGGTGCTGCATTCTGAGTTTTTATCGAAGCTAGAAACTGATCTTTGCGGCTAACAGTGTTGAATAATAGTTTATCATGTTTTTTTTTACAGCAATTTTACAGCAATTGTACAGCCTGAGGCTTAAAAGCCTCAGGATTTGGTACGGTCATGTGTCTAGTGGTAAAAATTGTACAACATGGCGGCAGCCAAGTGGGATTCACTTTTGCCTAGTGAACGAGATACCAGTTTCTCGTGCTAATCCCGTCTACCTCGTCGCGTTTAGCCACTGCTAGCTCTGCGCCAGCTGCATGAGGGGTAAATTTGGTGCGCCCCGAGTTTCCCACGCGCTTCAAGTCGTTCTAAAAAGAGTTGATTTAGTGGTTTTCAATTACGCTCAGTAAGTTTCTAATTGAAACCATATGTATATTTTCACTAATGAAAAAGTTAATTATTTTTTAAAAAATAAATTGCCGACTTATTGCAAAGATTTGCCACCAACATGATGTTCGCCTGGCAGTATAACTAACCTGCACAAACAGCGTAAGTGTAACTTTCACGGCTCATTTTACCAAATCTGTAACGCTTAAAAAAACAAAAAACGAGATTTCCCTTTAAATCTAGCGTAGAAACTGAATTTGTTTATAGGTGATGTGACACCAAGTCACAGGACGGCCTTCTCCCCACTAAATTTAGCGGGAACTTGAATTGGTGTTGAGCCCACGTGACGTCAGTTTTTCCGCTAAATTTAGCGCTGTTACGCCGACGCCGACGCCGAAGCCACGAAACCCAGAAACGGGGGCCTAAGAGCTGCGCTCTAAAACGAAACACCACTACCTGAGTGCTCTCAATAGGTTGCTGCATCCTTAAAAGATTAGCACATGATCACGTTCCAAAAATTAAAATGATGATTTTAGTCATTTTTTGTATTTCAGCGGATTTCCGTACCTAACGTCCTGCCAAAGTTAGGGTGCATCGAAACACGCTAACCCGCATGGACACTGGCGACTTAACCACTTTCGCAAAAAGGTTGCAAAGGTGTTTTGTTTTTTGAAGATCCAGTTCGATCTCTTGCGAATTTTATTATAAAAAACGGCGGAACTCTCTGCAGTAGCGGGTGAAACGCAATTGCAAATGCCGGTCGAAGACTGTTCATTTTCATCGTCGGTTCAGAGCCTTTTCGACCTTACATAACTGCAGCAATGCTGCAGAAGATAATAAAACAATAATGGTCATTCTACTATTATTTTTTTTTACTGTGCGAAAGACTTACGTTTGGAAAGATATTAAATTTAGGGCTTTCACTCGCAAAACAAGCCAAGGTCATCTACCGTGCCCTAGCGAAAAACTTCAGATTAATTTCAACCACGGGTGAAGTTTCGAAAGCGAAGGGTATAAAGCGCCGAAAAAACACGAACCGAGACAAGGACATCTTGTCTCAGTCCGTGTTTTTTCGGCGCTTTATACCCTTTGCAATCTACAAACTGGCCTATCTAATCGCATTATTGTATGTCGGCAGAGTGACGAAAATCTCGGTTACAATGCTACCTCTCCAGAAGAAGCCCCTGTCAAAAAGCGGGCACTCCGGACTGAGCTCGAATCCGCCAACGGGGGGCCAGCGCTTTACCTTCAAAGCACCGAGCCCGCCAGGTATATCGGTTAAAATTACACGAACGAAAGACGAAAACGCATAAAAATAGACAGCTGTATATAGAGCCCAGAATGGCTCCGCTTGAGTGCTACGTGCGTTACCTTGTCGATCAATCACGATACACGTGCAGGCTTAAGGAATCATTTAATCAACACTCAATAGCACTTCACTCTTAACAGAGGGTTCTCGATAGTTTACGAGGTTCGGGTGGTTTTGCGTATTATTTATCAAGTACTACGCGAGGAGTAAAGGGAAAGAGAAAAAAAAAACCTCGCGCACCTTTGAAATATTTTAAAGAATAACTCTAGCAAAATGGTATCCAGAATTTCACACGGTAGCTTATTTCATTTCTCGATGGATCGTGCAAGAAAACTTCAAAACCTCTGTCCTGCATTTAAATTGTCGATTTGTTTTAATTTATTTCTCATGTAACGTACATAAGCAGGCTCTAAAATGTATGTGGACATCCAAGAAATCTAGCCACACAATTTGGATTTTCTTTCAGTCCGTTCATTCATGTTTTGTCAGGAGGGATCCCAAATTGAACTTGCATAACGTACAACAGAACGCACGCGAGAGCAATACAAGTTATATTTAAAAAAGGAGGAGCTAGAATAAAAATACGATCAACATTTATTACACCTTCAACAAAAAAAATGGATTCCAAATATATGGCCTCATTTAAAAGTTCGATCGAAGTACCTGCAGTTGCGTATGATGAAGAAATTATGTTAGTTTTTTCTGGAGAAACCACATATGAATACACTTCAATTAGGGTTGAGCGTCGCTTAAAATATTACTCCCATTAATCGACACCCTTTAATCGACTAATTAATTGATGAATCAGTTTCGTTCATTCCCGCACATGATAGTTTTTATTCAAAATTAAATGTTTTGCTTTTGCTGAATACGTGATAAACGGCTCAATGAAAAATTTCGGATTTTCAAACAAGCTTTATGCGTACATGAAAACAGTGAAAAGACGCTCACACTCAAAATTGATTCCTTCAGCCGCAAAGGCAAAGGCGTTCGTCAATATCGAACTCTTTTGATTGTTGATATTATTCTCTGCTGCGCTAAGCGGACACTAGTCAGGTTGAGGTGGCCGGTACAGCTAAACCTTCCTCACACTTATGGAGTTACGGATGTCCCCCTACAGTTTACTTTAGGTCAACACTTCAACTAAAGTTTGCCTTTTTACCGGTGTACTCGTTCACGTCTCCGTGGTGAATGCGTTCCATTTTTAGTTTTTGTGTTCGTCAAAATTTAGCTCAATAACTGGTTTAAAAATATTACTCGTGGTTTAAGCATTAATCGATTAATCGGTGGGTTAGTCGATTAAATGCCCAAAACTAGGCATGAGCTATTTGAAACAGAAGACACCAGCCTACTTTTACTTATTAGACTCTTCTCTGATAGCCGTGTACTTAATACGGATAAAACGGTACACTGCTAATAATAAAAAAGAAAAATTTTAGAATAATTATTTGCACGTTTTGAAGTGCCGAGATGTCGAAAGTCTACTCTAAAACGTGATTTTTTATGTTGTCATTACGCATTCCCAGCGATAACATTCTTTCAGGGCATACGTGATCCAAAAACAAATTATTTTACACTGCGATTTTCGAGCTTAATTCAATGCTCTGATTTTATAAAGCAAACGTGAATGAGAGAACCGAATCTACGAGTAAAAAAAACACTGGTTCGGCCAATCACAGTTAAACCTCGGTGCAGCGTTCGCGTGCGCTAAAGAATAAAAAAAAAATAGCCTCGCTTGTGAGCGTACTTTCCCCCTTCTCGATAAGATATATAAACTCTCCAGGTCTTAGGATTCATCACTTCCAAATCCGAAATCGCCCGAAACGGACTTGCCTTACCGTCCCACATCATGAAGACTGCTGTAAGTCATAACTAATATTTTACTCCACATATATTAGGATATTAGCTTTTCTATTTTTGTTCACGTTTATCTTAGGATTCGTATTGCAAGCAGATAATTAACAAAGTCTTAAGCAAGGTTATTCATACTCCTGATTAACATAGTAACTAAGATTTGATTTTATCATTGTAATTAAAAATTTATATTTTACAACTAATTACATATTCACTTGTATCATAAAGTTCAGCGTGGTCATTTGTCACGAAAACGCAATTTCTCAAGAGGAAATTAGCTGCCTATTTTGAGCCTCATTTATATTACGGTAGTGCGCCCGAAGCAACACCTCCCTCCAGAAGAAGATAAAACAGGCATCTATTTTACGATGACAGTAGCCACTTTCTTGGCCACCTTATCCTGAGGCCTTGCAAAAAGTAAGCCTATGTTTTATAATCATTTAGAACATCACTTGAACTCTCGAAACCTTTGCATTTCATATCTTTAAACTTGTGTTGGGAACCGACTATTCAAACGCATGCTTGAAGCTCTCCTGAGAATAGCATATCGCAAAAAAAAAAAAATTAAAAATTAAGTATTCATAATCGATTTTACTTAACCGAAGGGCAGTTTTTTCAACTTCTTAAATTAAAACACTCGTGAACACTGGTCAGTTACTTATTCATTTCTGGGTTTAGTCGCTTACCGAATGTTCCCATCTGCTGACTACATTGTCATACCCATATCACAAAGCTAATTTGAAATTCCGTATTAACGATCGCGTTCAGATCAGTAATGTGGTCGCCACAACAATTCTTTTTTTGTTTTGTGAAATTAACATATTACAAATTACTTCTTGTTCTTGTCGTAGCTTTCCCTCGCCGCCTTCTGCGTTGTTCTCGCCGTCGCCGCTGCCGGAGGCTTCGGTTTGGGCCACGGCATCGGAGGCTACGGCCTCGGAGGCCACGGCCTCGGAGGCTACGGCCTCGGTGGCCACGGCCTCGGAGGCTACGGCCTCGGTGGCCACGGCGGCTTCGGGCACGGCTTTGGTGGCAACTACGGAGGAAGTTACGGTGGATCCTACGGTGGATCCTACGGTGGACACTACGGCGGTCTCGGCGGTGGCTTCTTTGGATAGAGATAGATTACTATTCTGGTGAGATTAGGCGTTTATACTCTAGTAAAATGAATAACTATGCTTTTACTGATATTTCATGCAACGAAGATGGGAAAGAGTCAATATATATAGTTTTCTAAGAATATTGTACGTGTGGTTGGGTTATATCTCTTAAATCTAGAATTCAGTGCAGTTCAAACTGAGTCGCCTACAAACGTCATCCTGTTTTTTTTTTTCGTTTTTTATGCTACTTTTAATATGCGGGCCTGAAATGAAAGCGTTTCAATTGCTTTGTCACGAACATATAGCATGACAACGTGACACCCTTATGCAGGAATTTTTGTTTTTACCAAAACATATTGCGTGATCTGACATATCTTAATTGTACTACTTTATTTATTTCAGGACTACCTTTATCACCAGCAAATATTCCCTTGAAAGTTGATCTGCTGTCGGAAGGATACGATACAAATCATTTTCGTTTCACAGAACCAAGACTCACTACTGTAATAAAAGTGTAAATATCCTATAGAAGTGTTGACATCTTCATTTTTATGTATAGATCATTTCGGGATTCGCCCTCGTGCAGTCATATATTTAAAACATGGCTGTGGAACCCATTCTAAGCATGCGCCATAACTTTTTTTCTTGGGGGGGGGGGGGGGGGAGATATAGGGCGCGGCGCGTGCGTCCACAGCAAAGTGGCTGAGAATATTTTGCCTGTATGGTAAGCGCTGGAAAGTTCGATAACACCATAAACTTTCTTTGATGTTGTTTCAAAAAAAAAAAAAAAAAAGAGGGAAATTGTGTTAGGTTTCTGATAGCCTCGAGGCCAATTTGGTGGTCTGTAGGCCGCTTGCAAAGAGGCAAAATTAGTTCATTTGTCAGCTAGTTAACTCTAAAGTTCCAGTTTACTTTTTTTTTTGCGTGTCTGAGAGAATAATGTGTGTCAAGAATTGGCGCTTGATGTCATATAGCCTAGTCTAGTCTTGAAACATTGGTTGAAAAAGTTTTAATGTGCCATACTGGGTGAGAATAGTCGCCCTGCAACACGGCTTCAAACCGCACCTAAGCGGGCAAAGTGCGACCCTAATTGCGACTGGCTTCGCTTCTGGAGCCGGTGGAGGGCGGAGGGGCCGACATTTCTGACTCTCCTCTTCCGCTTAGCTTGAATTTGAAGACCGGTACGAGGGTTTCATCTGTCACCCTGCTGCACGCACTACGAATTTCTAACACATACTTTAACGTCTATAATGATGTTGAGCGTTGAAGTTTGAAAAATGTTATGTCCCCACAAACGAAATTTTTAGAAATTAATTACATTTCTCAGTTAGTAATCTATCTATTATATTTCGAGGTATTTGAAAAAGTGTAGATAAGCGTATTTACTCCTATGTAAGCACAATTATATCTGAAGTAACACGGATTTGTAAAGGGGAGGTCAGTTCAATCTAACTGATGCTCCTTTTTTAAATTTCTCAGCTCCAATTCTTTTCCGTTAGGGAAAGGTGAACGGGATTGATTTCGACATGTCGCAAGAGTTCAACCGTGTTAATCATGATTTGATACTACAAAAACTCGCTTTAGATGGGTTTAGCCCACAAATGTGTGCATAGTTTTCTTGTTAGCTTGGTGATCGTCGCAACTCTTTCGGGTTGATAGTAGCTACTTTGACGAGTTTGTTTCGAAATGTGGAGTGCCTCAGGTCTCCATCCTGAGGCCGCTTCTATTTATTTTATTAATAATTGATGTTGTTTCCTGTGTTAATGATGCAAAAATTATTCTCTTTGCCGATGATGTTAATCTGTTTCTAAGTGGGAAGTCACTGGTGTATTGCACTTGCCATCAAGCTGACACAGAACATGTTTCAAATTGGTGCCTCAAAAACTGCTTGACGCTTAACCCCGAGAAATCTAAACTTATTGTGCTATCTAGAAAGCGTGAGTTCATTGGTTTTTCTGACATCCTTGAAAGCACCTCGTTCCCCCGAGTATCTGTTATCAGGGATCTTGGTGTTCATATTGATTGTGCACTGGTTTTCAATGAACACGTGTCCATAACCGTTAATGCTGCCTTTAGAATGCTAGGCGTAATTTCTCGTGTGTGTCGCCAATCTCCATCTCCATTTTGTGTGTTGCATTTGTTTAAGTTACAAGTTAGATCACTGTTAGAATTCGGCTGGGTCATCCCTAATTCTTTATTCATATCACAGGCAACTGTAATCGAAAACGTACAAAAATTAATGATTATAATAGTAAACAACAACTATATTGAACGAGTGTATTTTTGCTTGTACAATATGAAACGTTACTTAGACGATTCGCTCTACATAAGTCAGTTTAGATATTTATATTTACGAGGCAGTTTAGATATTTAGATTTATTCACAAAGTTGTCCACGGCCATGTCAATTCGATGAATCTATTACGATCCACACTTCCAAGTTCCGTCAAGTGTCAGTCGAAATTCATCAACGTTTTATCCGTCTTTCATGTCCCCTGTATCACCTTTGTCCTGGATTCAGTTGGCCTTCAATAAGTAAGAACATCTGGATATTTTCATGTGACGTACGTATTTTACCTTGCTTGCTCGCGAATGGATGTTTACCGCCTAAATATGGCAAGACCATTTGTGTAGTGTTTCAACATTTTTTGACAGTTCTTTATATGTTACCCGTGAATCACTGTGAAGACTAAAAAGTTGTTTGTGGACACAAAAAATAAAGAATTAATATTATTATTGCTAATATTATTATTAATTAATATTGTTATTGATCTCAACTGTACGTATGAAAATTCCCGTAAAAACTACATGGCGAAATGCATCCTTCTACAATGCTCGCGTAACTAATCTTCACGACCCCGTGTAGAATTGGGCACACCTACAATTCCTCTTTTAAGGAAACCATTGATATATTTAACAATAACACACCGGAGCTGATCAGAGAGCTAAAGGTCCTCACCTATATTTTGAGTACCATTTTTTCCACTTGATAAAGTTTGCTCGGAAGCAAATTTTATACTCTCGCTTTCCTTTTCTTTCGCTATCGTGGTGGTACACCGTAGAGAGTTTATGCGGCATACGTGATCTGTCTTAAGGGTTTTTATTGTTTATTGTTTGTTTGTTGTATGTAGTGTTATGTTTTTCATGTTTCCCGAGTGCACCCGTACCAAGACCTCAAGGTTGTTCCTGGACACTTCAATCAAAACATTGATTGATTGATTGATTGATTTGTATATTATTATAATTCCTGTTTCTCCTCGCTTTAATGTAGAGAGATGTGTCGCTAGATAAGGGAAAAGACTGCACGGTTCTTATATTTCAGCGGTCTTTAATGCTCTTCGTGAGGATATATACAGTATAACTGGCAGAGCATTGTTCAAAAATTGGCTTCGTTCAAATGTTTTTGAAAGTTATATAGCGTAATCCTAATCCTTGCAAGTTCTTTTTTTTCTTAGTTTTGTTGTTGTTGCGATTTGTTTTGTTTGGGGGCTGTTTATAGAAAGCTTTCTTGTGTGTGTAAACGATAATGAATCTCTTTTTTCGCCTGTTTGACTTGCCCGGTTCAGTCGTACAAGCCTATATCCCATACGCATAAGCCTATGCCGGCTTAGACAAACCTGCCTCTTATGTACTGATGCTTGCTGTGACAATAAATACTCTTTTTTATTATTGTTACTATTATTATTATTTTAAATACATGCACAAGTGTGTGCCTGTGTTTTTTATATATTTTTCTTTTCTTGTACGATTACGATTGCTAACTCTTCTGAGCCACATCTTCCAGAAGCACTTTTCTATTCGCTGTGGTGCTGTGCTTATGACAACGTGCGTGCATGTGTCCATTTTGTATTTACTTCATTTTTTATATTGTAACTTTTCCCCCTTCCAAAGAACTGTACTGTGTCTCCAACGGAACTGTAACATTTCCGTACTCGTGATTTTTTTTTAATTTCGTTTATTGAGCTGCATTTCTTGCTCATGTCTGCTTTTTTCTTAGTGTAATCTCTGGACCTGGTCTTACAAGCCCTAGCAGGCTTTGACCGGTCCGACATCAACTCTGCGAGATCTGCACTCCTGAATAAAATTATTTTTTTTTTTTCCGAAACTTTTCGAAATGGTAGTCCACAAAACATTGTTCTTTCGTTAAAAAAATGTATTAAGTTCCAACCAACACGGATTTGTATCGGGACGCTCGACAACAACAAATTTGATTTCATTTATGTCCATTGCATCCAAAGCTGTGTGCCACCGAGGCCTACTTTGATCTGAGTAAGGCCTTTGATGTGGCTGACCATGGCATTCTTTTATCAAAACTTTGTGGTATTGCTCTCTGTGGAGGGCTACACTACTGGTTTCAGAATTATTTGTCTAATGGAACATGTGTTGCTCGTGCGAACGGCGCGTATTCTTTTACGTAGATGGCCACGTCTGGGGTACCTGAGGGGTCAGTCCTGGGCCCGCTTCTTTTTCTATTTTTGTGAACGATGTGTGTAAGCAGATTGTAAACTCGTCTTTTTTGCAATATGCTGATGATATTAAGATATTTAGGGAGATTAGAACGATCTCAGATTGCAATTTTCTACAAGAGGACATAAACTCTTTAGCAAATGGCGTTCACTGAACGGTCTCCTACGAAACAGCTCGAAAACCAAGGTCATGTCCTATAGTCGCAAAACGCAAACAACGTGTTTCCCTTACAGTGTTCGCTCAGGTGTATTGTGCCGTTCTAGTGAAGTGCGGGAGTTGGGAGTGCTTTTTGACTCCTCCTTGAGATTTGATAGCCACGTGGCTCGTATAATTACCTGCGCCTTGCGCGCGCTCGGAGTTGTTTTTCGAACGACTAAAGTATTTAAAAACCCCGCAATGTTTGTAACCCTGTACCGCTCTTTGACAAGGTCTCAACTCGAACACGCACCTCCTGTATGGAATGGTAGTTGTAAAACTACGCTCCTAAGGCTGGAGCGATTGCAAAACAAATTTTATCTATTTATCGATATCGATACCTGCGCGATGAAACAT